AAGACATTTAGATCTCACAAGCAGGAAGTCTTCCTTCAGCCACTGGGTGAAGACCCAATGATTCACGTTTTTCGACATTAGTATATTCACTATATAGCACGACCATATTACGATGTCATATTACGATAGACACGCGAAATCAGCGAAAAACCTCACACACAAGAATATCGGTCCAAGTTGCAACAATTCACGGTAGTATACAAAGAACAGGTGGTTCAAAAAAAGGATGCTAAAGTAAACAAAGGTGTATGTAAGGGGAGGAGATTTAAGAGTTAAGGTTAGTCAAAACATCCAAGCGTCAGAAGACATCAGGGAGTGAATACAGTTGCGCCATTGTGACCGATTTTCGGCCACGTAGTCAAGAGTCTCTCATCAATAATTCCTATGGCACCTGGGATCCCAGGTCAGGTAGTCTACACCTCCATACATGGCTCAGATCAACAATCAGAGACTCCACCAACTGCTGCCACATCACATTATGTGCACCTTGAGTCTTTCTGAAATCCAATCCCACTTCAAATAACAATACACATTGAGACAGGCAGTGGCTCAGCATGTATATCTCCAAGCTATCTCAGTCAACAACCTCATCGACTGACTTGCGTAGTATCCCTCATCTAACCCTTACAATATGCGACCATTGATAAGATGTCTGTGGTTGGAAACCCGTTATCTCTTTTACTTTCAACGATCTTTTCTAACAGGTGTACAACAAGACAGGAGGTAACGCAGCGTGACATAATCATCCTTTGGTGGGTAGTCAGATATCTTGCCAAGACGAGTCATTTTTAACACCAACAGTTTGCTGTCTTTTTGTAGAGCTATAGGAAGTCTATTTCTCAGCAAGTCATTATAAGGGTTTCAAATTATTATTTCATATGAAGGTTTTTCGAGGAATTTATTGGTCTCACATGCCAGTAAAACCATGACGATTATTTAATAAAACATTTTCATGACATTAACGTTCTTCTGTGTGACGTGAAATATTTCGAAGAATGCAATTTTTCTGAGTATAACAAAGGGTGACCAAAACAACGACCTTCATATAGCCAATTGACCAACGTCAAAATATGCACAAAATACAACGGCATATATATATATATATATATATATATATATATATATATATTTATATATACTCATAATCATCTTGACTAGTTCTGCGCCTTCTTGGAATTGTATATCCTACTGTCTTCACCTCTTTAACTCACCTGATAATTGTGCGTAGGTTCATGTAGTTTTTTTTCTTCGAAACTTCCAAGCATTACGATTACTTGTAAAGGGCTTCAAGGATTTATGGCTACCTCTGGGGATCTGAGTAATCTCTTTGCATACTACGACAAGAACCAACACGGGTAAAACATCGAGTTTATGTGTAAATTCTAAAGCGAAATACGAAAGTTATTGCATGAGCATCTAAACTTTATTCCTCTATGGTGATTAGTAGATGTGTCACACATGTCAGCTTATCATTTACCGTAAAGTCATTTCTTAGCTGGTTAACATAAAATTTGAAGGTTGAAAAACTAAAAAACAGTATCATCCCATGAAGTTTATGAATGTTGGTTTGAATCACTGTGGGAAATATAGTCTTTAAGTTTCGAGTTCATCAGACAACCAAATACAATCTAGATAACACGTCTCAGAACCGATCACAGCGGTGCAGATGCATTCACATCTTATCTTTATTTAAACCAATATATCAAATTTTATTATTTACTTCAAGCTCCATTTCTATCATCTTATGGCTTTCTACTACTTTTGATGGTATACTGATGTGATGCGCTGATTTTGAGTATAGCAGACTGACTCAGTAATTTCAGCACCGTATTAATACAGACAGATTAACTGTTAATAGTGTACGGTGAATAATCTCAAAATCATCAGTCTAACCAAAAGTCTGTGACTTCAGAAAAAGATAATCAAGTAATTTCCTTCAATGTGTATTTTGATCATCCTAAGTAGTATCGTGCAGTAGTATAGAATTTCTGCCCACTTTTAAATATTCACCTGTAAACTGTTCATATAGTAGCTTCGATTGAAACATCTACCATATTCTTACAACTTGGCCAGAAAAATTGTTCATACTAAAGATTTTTAATATTGCGCATAACAAACGAATACACCTAAGTAATAAATAATTAGAAAAGTTTAGAACAAAGAAAAACCAATAAAGTCACAAATATTTGTAACTATAGCTCAAGAAAAATGTTTACTTCTTTCTTTTCCTCTCTTTTCCTCCACCTTGTAGAATTCTTATTCTACAACTGATTACAATAGCATCAAAAATCGTGTTCCACACAGTTATAGTTATTTGCGAATAAATTATCTTCCAAGAAACCCGCATATTTTACAAAACACTGCTCTTTTAGGAAATGTATAACTTTCTCTTCGAACTTGCTTTATCAAGACGATATTAAAATTTTATTTTCACAGAGATAAAATAAACAACAGTCATTGAGTATATCGGTTGTTTTTTTCCGAAATAAATCAAAATATGTACATAATCACACAAAAGAATATTTATATGGAGGTTGTTGAACTTTGGTAAACGTAACATTCCATCATTTATTATTCAGATGAAAGAATGAAAAATAATTCTGAAGATAATGTTCAAATGAATTGATTTCATTACGTGCTGTGAGTTCAAAATGACGGTAATAAACATGATTCTAACAACATAAAGTTTCCTCTAGGTAACCCGTTAAATCATGCTAGTATAATACTGAATGAGCCAGACAGAAGCTGGAGTATCGTCTTAAAAAATGAATCTGATAATATACAAAAAGATTATATTGCCTATTGAAAATTGACCTTGATTCAAACATGGGAAAACGAATAAAGAGAGGCTATAAACAACACAAAGGTAAAGGAGAAGATAAATCAAACAGAGACTGAAAATAAAAATAATTGGTCATATATTAATACATTTACTTATTTGCCCCTCGACGTCGTAGAGAAACAGAAGGCTTCAGTAACACATCACCACTTCACTCTCCTCTACACAATCTTTGCAACATGCCTCCACAACCAACCACAAGCTTTCATCGCTTCCTAACAACATCTACTCCATGTCACCATCACCTCAGACCCCCAACTCATCATTTCCCCCTTCACATCACATTCGAGGACCTGGCACGACACGTGATACCCCAAATCGGTCTTCTCAGTGTATGCTCCATCCAATCCATCTCCACTTTCTCCAACTGCATATTTGTTGGGTGATTCATCCACCGTTGGTTCACTGCCAGTCAGTCAGACTTCCTTGTTACTTATTCATGTTTCTTACGAGAATCTGATCTTCAGAATCGAACCAGCGTAGGCAACTGTTCTCACGATGTGTGTCTGTAGTTTGTTCAAAACGCTTATCATAACCACATAGAAGCACTGACTTGACTCACGTTGGTATTGAAAATTTGAATCTTGTTCACACTTCATGCCGAGTGCAGTGCAGTGCAGTGCAGCAGATCTCCACACTGATTATTCCAGATTAATAAAGGAAGGCATGTCTTACTGTCTTTCTGATCACGACTGCTTTCACATCCCTATATGTGCCGCTGCCGCTGCCACCGCCACCGCTTGTACTTGAAACGATGCTGTCTAGGTGGGCAGGTAGGTATGTGAAAGAGACAACTTCCTTCAGATTTCCCCGTTCATGGTGATTGGTGCTTGTTGTTGTTGGTTGTGGTGGTAGTGGTAGTTGTGGTGGTGGTGGTGTTTGGATATCTTCATCACCTATGCCTTCTCCACCTTCACCTGAACGAAGTCATGTCTCACTTCCCTGCATCGCCGCGCCGCGCATCGCCTCACCTCACCTCACCTCATCTGCCAACTTGTTGGTTTGCGCCTACAGATCTACCAGTTTGTGCCACATAAGATATTGGAAGCAAATCATCATCGTCGAAATCCAAATCCTTCCTGGGGTCATTTCATCGGTCCAGTCAGCGTATACCCGTCTTCTCGCTCCTCACGGTTTGCTGCATGATTCAGTACAGTCAACCACAATCAGGAAGATCATCGGTGATAGTCTTACTCCCATATCCACTTGAAAGGCGTCACTGAGCTTTGCATTGTGAATCACTTGTTATGTGGCATCATGTGGCATATAGCTATTGAATGACGTTGATAAAGGTTTGTGGCACTAAACTGCAGTATTGAATCACCTGCCTTTCTGGTCATCTGCTTTTGTCGGAAGGCCTAAGTTCACTGGTAGTTCTGTGGTTACTGTTGGTATTTCTGGCCGAGTTGCAGGTGGTGGTCAATTCAAGAGATTTCGAAGTGATCATCCCATTATTTCCTTTATTTTTCCTCTATTTGAGAGATGTTGTTCCTCAATTCACTTCAGACGAATTGATTACACATTTGCTTGTCAAGGCATTTTGTAGGCAATATGAAAATCGTGTGTGGTAAGTTGAATAAATTAAGGTAACACAAGATTTGGAAAAGCCGTAGTCTAACAGAGAGAAGTTGTATATTTTCATACCTTTCTTTGTATCAAAGCGAGATGAATTTTACCGAGGATGGCTTAAAGTCAGGAAAAAATGGCTCCTGAATTCACAAATAGGATGCAAACATTCGTAAGGATAATACTTTAGTGGATGTAAGTATACGATCCTGATGACTCCTGCATATTGGTCTAAAGGTTGTTTTGGGTTCAAACCTATTACTTGTGTTTGCCTATATATGATGACGTCCTGATGAGAGAAATATTTCGTAGTTTGAGTAATATAGAAATGACAATAAATTCTGTGTATTGAAAGCAACATACACCGTAAAAGATGAAACTGATATTTATTTCATGTTTTGGCATATGAAGGTGGTCATTTAGTCAAAGAATGAGTAATTGATTTGATGAGTACTGTTTACTTGTTTCATTTGAGTTAACTTTTTGAAGTATACAGTAATAAAGCACATGGAAATTGAATATACTTGTTACATATCCTTATTATCCATGAATATGACTATACAACTATTTACTATTTAATTTTTCTATCGTTCAGTCCTGAACTTTTGGAACAGTTATGGATTCAGTTATATCGTTACTTGCCAGGACCTTCAATGGGACCAAAATTATCTTCAGGTAATCCTAAGTTTTGTATTTGATTTACATTTCACTACTAACATTTCTTTATCATAACATACTGTTCAACATAATAATGACAACGCCAATAAGTCAAGTAAATAGATATCGATAAACAGACTATTTTAAGTCATCACACAGAACTGTATACAGTTAGTAGACTTCGCAAATCCGCAGAAAGTGAAGATCAGCATAAAATAGAGTGATATTGGAATGAACAATCACAATAATCAAAAACAGTGGATAAGATAATGCAGTTTATTGACATATTATTAATCTAGTATTCATCATGGACTGACATCAGGTGGAGAACCATTGAAAAACTAGAAGCACTAGACATTCATTTTAATATACTGTAGGACTTCTAAACAGTATGCATACATGACTCCGCTGATGGTTGAATCCAGGACCTTCAAGTTCCGCCGTCAATATGTTACAATTAAGTTGTTGGGTATCCAAATTGTGAGTATGATAGAAAGATAATTTACGTTCACAAAACTCACCTGTTTCTTAATAAAATAAACTGAATGAAAGCATCAGACAAAAGATTCATTTATTACACAAGTAACTGTACTTCACCTAAGACTCATAAATAATTTGCTTGTGAATAAGGTCTAGCCAGTTTCCAATGATCTTTACTACCAAATAAAAAGAATCCCCGAAATAAGTGTCATTACAATATGAAGATATTTGTTATAAACATCCAGACTTTAGTTGCTATGAATATCCTAGGAAAAAATTGAAGGCTGAGTCTGAGTTAAACATTATACATGTGAGTTTGTATATAGTTCAAGGGTGTTCCTAAAACTAACTCACATGAAGAGATATTAACTTCTACTGTTCATCTTCTTGTCATCAACTTTCATCAAAAGTTTGATTACACTAAAGTTATTGTTAACTATCCAAACCAATGGAACACTATTTCTAATCTTGTAAAACCCTCTAGTAGAACACTAACTAAAGCTTTCAAAGTTTACACCTTGCAAAATATAAAAGCGAATCCCATTCTATGATGATCATTTGATCGACTTCGCTTGGTCCGAATCGTGAATCCTCATCAAAGAAGACTTCTTTATGCAATCAGGGCTGAATACGTCACCAAGTCTGCTGATGAGATGTTCACGAAAAAATATCAAAGCTCAAAGGATACCAAACCACCATCAAGTGGAATTATAAATGATTCCAAGAGAGGTGGACACATTTCAAATGAATAAAAGCCAGCAACTGTCAGTGCTTAATTTGGCTAAAGAAATGTATAAAAACCTTTGAAAGACTATGATACAAACACCAGATAAACGCACTCCTGTTCAAATGGAATAATGCTTACCAAAATCTGTCAGTGTTGTCGCAGAATGTAAGACATTCAGAGAGAATCATACTGATTAGTGATCTCAGCATTTAGCTGAGAAAGAAAAGTTAATCTGTGAAGCCTCTTTAGGTTGTCTTCGAAATCACACAGTAGCAAACAAGCGACACTCACTCTTACTGTAAGAAAAATTTCCCACCTGTCCAGCAGAAACCTAAAGACAACGATATCGGTAACTGATTCATATTTGTGTGAGACATAGTTGGAGGGGCTGGCTTCAGGAAGAACAAATCATATGCTAATCAAATTGTAACACCACACTACATATCATCATAGAATAGAGTATAGAATGGCAGTCAACTCCTTACCTAAACCTCACCGACTTTGAAAAGGCCTTCAACAGCATCGACCAACAAGTAATTTGGCAGACAGCTGGATCAGTACTACGGTTTTAGTGCCACAAACCTTTATCAACATCATTCAATAGCTATATGCCACATGATGCCACATAACAAGTGATTCACAATGCAAAGCTCAGTGACGCCTTTCAAGTGGATATGGGAGTAAGACTATCACCGATGTTCTTCCTGATTGTGGTTGACTGTACTGAATCATGCAGCAAACCGTGAGGAGCGAGAAGACGGGTATACGCTGACTGGACCGATGAAATGACCCCAGGAAGGATTTGGATTTCGACGATGATGATTTGCTTCCAATATCTTATGTGGCACAAACTGGTAGATCTGTAGGCGCAAACCAACAAGTTGGCAGATGAGGTGAGGTGAGGTGAGGCGATGCGCGGCGCGGCGATGCAGGGAAGTGAGACATGACTTCGTTCAGGTGAAGGTGGAGAAGGCATAGGTGATGAAGATATCCAAACACCACCACCACCACAACTACCACTACCACCACAACCAACAACAACAAGCACCAATCACCATGAACGGGGAAATCTGAAGGAAGTTGTCTCTTTCACATACCTACCTGCCCACCTAGACAGCATCGTTTCAAGTACAAGCGGTGGCGGTGGCAGCGGCAGCGGCACATATAGGGATGTGAAAGCAGTCGTGATCAGAAAGACAGTAAGACATGCCTTCCTTTATTAATCTGGAATAATCAGTGTGGAGATCTGCTGCACTGCACTGCACTGCACTCGGCATGAAGTGTGAACAAGATTCAAATTTTCAATACCAACGTGAGTCAAGTCAGTGCTTCTATGTGGTTATGATAAGCGTTTTGAACAAACTACAGACACACATCGTGAGAACAGTTGCCTACGCTGGTTCGATTCTGAAGATCAGATTCTCGTAAGAAACATGAATAAGTAACAAGGAAGTCTGACTGACTGGCAGTGAACCAACGGTGGATGAATCACCCAACAAATATGCAGTTGGAGAAAGTGGAGATGGATTGGATGGAGCATACACTGAGAAGACCGATTTGGGGTATCACGTGTCGTGCCAGGTCCTCGAATGTGATGTGAAGGGGGAAATGATGAGTTGGGGGTCTGAGGTGATGGTGACATGGAGTAGATGTTGTTAGGAAGCGATGAAAGCTTGTGGTTGGTTGTGGAGGCATGTTGCAAAGATTGTGTAGAGGAGAGTGAAGTGGTGATGTGTTACTGAAGCCTTCTCTTCCACTAGGAAGCTAAATGACAAATAATATTAATAATTTTGCAAGAAAATTATCATGCTATTATCTGTGTTTCCTGGGTACTTCATTTAAGTTTAATCGTTCTTTGACCGTGACACGTGAGTCGGAATTCTCAAGTGTGTTCAAAGATGGTTGGAAATATAATGCTTTAAGATGCTCTGTAGCTAGCTGACTGTGAATTCTGCATTAAATCAGGAGAGATCCAGTCGTTTACCGGGAAAATGGTAATGGTTTTCATCCAAATACAGCCTGAGTTAATATGCGTGAAATGATACGAAGGAACTGCAACTAAATTACGATCAGAATCTCCACATCTACGGGTTTATTAAAACAGAATAATTTGAAAGGATCAGGTTGTGCTTACGGAAGAATGTTAAGCTGTGACAATGACGATAATATAGTTTTCTCAACGTGCCAAACAGAAACCTGATCGTTTCAGGAATAGTACACTTCAATTTTTAGTCGCAATATGTAGTATGAGTTGTTGAAAAGTGTACGGGAAGGTCATTGATCTGCCCGACCAGATAGATACTTATTAGCTCACTGACCAAATATCTGGTGTGTTATTCTGGTACTTGTTAGACCGGAACACATGGCTATGGTAAAATATCTCAATTTTTATCAATGTACACTATTTCGCTTCCTTTTCACCTTACTTCACTGCTGTAAGTCACAGTTTGTGGAGTTTGATGATACTGAACACGTACTACTTAAGTGAAACAACATTCTGAAAAGAGTAATTTTGAATTCTGATGTATAATGCAAGTCAAGAAATGTATGTCAGTAAACGAAAATGTGTTGTATTACACACTGTGGTGGTGTACATATGTACTACAGATACTCACTCATTATTTACTAGTATGTTAAACTGTAGATATAAAGTAAGATAAGATTGTAAAACTAAGCTGAATATGGAAAAATGAAAACATAAAACTGTCCATCAGAGTTCTAACTCAACGTAAATTGCCTTCAGCTTTGATTTTACAATGGAAAAGTATGACTAATCTTCATTACTCAAGTATTAATAGCCCTGGTATCCTTTAGCGCACAACGTAATTAACAACATAAGATAAAAACTGATATATGATGAGTGACTAGTCTATTAGAGGGAAGAGAAATATCTCAAATATAAACATTCACCAAGCAAATGTATTGTGGGCGGCTGAACTTCAACATTTGACAGTTTCCTATGTTTGTGCTACGATTTAGTATTTTAGATATAAAGAAGTTTAGACCTCATGTACACTGTGATTCATAGTTGTTCTAGTATCATATAATATAAACCACTATAAATGGACCCTAAAAATGCTATTTCAGTAGCGGAATATGAATTCTGCACGTATCAGTTGACTCAACTAAATGCCTGAACCAAGAGAAAAGCAAAACTTTATCAAATTAGACCTCAAAGCAGAGAATTCCATTAAAACAGTTAGCTGCATACAAACATCCGGATTCGGGATGTGGTGGACTGGATCGTGCAGCAAACAGTGAAGAGCGAGAAGAAGAGCATACGCTGGAACGATGAAAGGAGCCTCGAAGATTTGGATTTCGCCGATGACTTATGTTTAATGTTGCACAAACTCGAAGATCTACAGACAAAAACTAACAAGTTGACAGAAGAGGCAGGGCAGAGAAAATGGGACTTCAAGGGAATGTAGAGAAGACAGAAGTGATAAAGATACTCAACCAGCAACAAGCATGTCACCATGAACGGCAGGATCCTAGAGGAAGTAGCCTCTTTCACCTACCCAGTCAAGGCAGCAGCGTTTTAAATACAGGCGGCACAGATGAGCATATCAAAACCATGATCGGAAAATCAAGACAAGAGTTCATTAACCTGAAATCAGTGTGGAGATCTACTGCAATCTACTCAGCATAAAGCGTGAACAACATCCGGAATTTAAACACCGATGTCAAGTCAATGCTGCTATATGGTTCAGAAACTTGGCGCATCACGAAAAGCACTTCCAAGAAAATACAGACACTCATCAACTACTGCCTACGCTGGCTGGATACTGAAGATGGAGATCAGATGGCCAGA